AAGCGAAGCTTCAGCACAAGCCGAAGTGCGAAAACAGTAAGAAAAATGATATGGATAGCAACGGCAATCAGACTAACTATCAACCCTGACAGCGACAATGAGTATGCACCAATGCTGGTGGTGATGGTGATGGCGATAACGAGGATTATCCTGCAGTTGCTGGCGTGCGATGCACAGTTTGCAATATAATGTTGCCTTCACGATGCTACAGTAATGACCCGTGTAATGACCGCACTCTCTTCGCTAGGTCCCCCGCTCACCATCTCCCATTTCCTTAAGCTTTCGGGAGTTTTGCGATTCTGGAGCTTCAGAATGGCCAGAGCTGCGGGCTGCAGGGCCCCAAGGGCCTGACCTTCGTCGCCGGTGCCACCTCCTTTGTTGCCTTCTCATCCTGGCGCAGCTTCGAAGGCGACGGCGCGTGGCAACGCTCTGCTTAAAGCTGTCTGGTCCGATCTATCTTGGAGCTCAGAGCCGATCGACACAGCAGAGGGGTCCCGAGCCTTGCCGTAGCCTCCCCAGATCGACCTGGATGTGACAAGTCAGAGCTGCTCAAGCGCTGGCAGCTGCGCTTGACGGGGTGACTGAGGCCGCGGACTGCAGCGCCCCCATCAGACCACCCCTTGGTGCAGACATCGGATGCAGTGCTTGCAGGCCCCACGGAGGCTTCGCATGTAGGACTCCAAGATCTCGGCACAGGTCGGTTCTGCTTTCGCTTTACTTTTGAAGATCCCTGTCTGATCACAGTTGAGCAGAGACTGAGTGGCATCCACCCTCGCAACGTGCACATCTGAAACCGTGCCTCTTCCACGAAGAGGTCCTCGTGGCTCTTCCCGGGCTTTAGCCGCACGCGAAGCTGGTGTGGTGGAGTAATGTAGGAGGATACCTGAAGAAAGGGAAAACCGCCCAAGCAAAGCCGAAGCGGTGTTAAGGTTGAGCCCTGATGGAACGGACCGGAGAACCTTTTCGCTCAGTCGAGATCTCTCCGCACGGCATCGGAAGCAAAGCCCAGGTTTCGAAGCTCAGCTGCCAAGGCCACGAACTCTTCTGTGGCCATCGCCAGAGGAGGCTTCGCCGGATCCACGCCCGCCTTTGCCATGGCCAACCGCCAGGAGTCAGGAAGGCTCTGAGCCGCCACCCGCTCCGCCACTTCCGTCAGCCGGGCCTCCAGGCCTTCGCCGCGTGTCGGCCCCCTGGTGTCCAGGAGCAGACGCAGCAGCTGATCCAAAGCCGCCGCGGGCACCTCCACTCCGCGATGTCGGAGAGGCACCTGGTGCAGCTCCAGGAGGACCACAGCAGAGTCCACGCGCGGGGGCGGTGAGAAAACGTCCGGCGTGAGCAGACCGGGGATGGCGAACTGCGCATTCGAGCAAAGGGCCTGCACCAACGCAGAGACGCGCCCAAACTTCACTGAGCCCGGCTTTGCCAACAGCTTGCGCGCGAATTCGGCTTGCACCATCAAGACAACCCTCTCCATGAGAGGCTCCTGACACAGCAACTTCGTCACTACAGCTGTGGAGATTTTGTAGGGAATGTTACCCACTGCGATACGGCAGCGGCTTGGTACTGCCCGGCAAGCCAAGAAGTCGCCTTTAAAGACGAAGCAACGCGTGAGGCTGCCGGTCAGGTGGTCTTCCCAGGCCTCACGACGTAACGTGCGTGCAGCCTCGGGGATATCCCTGCAAATCGGATGGTATCGACGTATGACACCACCTTTCTCCAGGGCCTGGGACAAAATTCGCTCGTCCAGCTCAAAGCCCACCACCCCTGCGCAGGCCGGGCTCTGCAACAAAGCAGCCGTCAGCGCCCCTGCTCCGACCCCAACTTCTGCCACCCAGCTCGCCTGTCCCGCCGCACCTTTCAGAGCCACCGCGGTGATCTCTAGCGCCAGCTTGTGCGACCGGAGGACGTGCTGGCCGAGGGCGGGTGTGGGGCCCGTGGTCAACATCATGGCAGCCCTTTCTTGTAGAGACCCCGGCACGAAGAGACTTCCGCACTTGGGACACCCAAGGCGGCGCTGGATGTGATCACGGGGCTTCATCCAGAACATCCCGTGCTTTTGGCAACGGATTGCGACCGGAGTGTGATTGTCCTTATACTGCGCATAAGTGTAGTCAAAAAGATTGCCCCAGATCCTTGTGCAATCCGCCTTGAAGGCTTTCTTCTTGCGACCCGGATGCAATCTCATGCTGCCGGTCAGGGACGTCGTCGCATAGTCGCCCCGAGTAGATGCCGCAAATCTCAAGGCTCCAGGCCCAAAAAGCACCGGCTGAAGCCTTTTTCTCCAATGCCGAAAAATTGACACCATCGTCAGGCTGAGGGCCAAGTCTCGGGTTCAACGGCTCCGAAAAACCAGCGCCACCCTCGCAGCACCATTGCTTGGGTATCCTCCTTTTCCTAGGCCTGCAAGGGGAAAGGGACTTTCAAAGCTCTGAAGGACGGGCTTGAACGGACGAGTGGGAGGCACGCTCTGTGGCATCTAAGGGATGGGCATGCCTAGGCCCAGGCAAAAGCCGACACCCAGCTGGAGCTTTCAACAGCTGAGTCATGACAGAAGTTGTGGGATGCCAGAAAACACTTGCTCTTGGAGAGTTGCAATGAACGACCCGTGAATCCACCTGCAACCAAAATGCAGCGGCCTTGATAGCTAAAATAGGCTCGGTTAGGATAGCAACTGCGAAGAAGAATCTTATTAGGAACTACCCAGGCTTCTATATTCAACAGCGCAGGGAGGGGGTGATTTTGGTGGATATCTTATACTATAGTTCTACTAAGGATCCCCACC